ACTAGCCTGCTGTTGACTGGAAGCCTTATAGATAATGTGAACAGTCAATTAACATATATTTTAAATGCCATATGTGTTAGATACTGTATTCTTAAAAAATTTTTTTAAATGTTTTATTTATTTATGAGAGAGGGAGAGAGAGAGAGAGAGAGATACAGACAGCATGAGCAGGGGAGGGTCAGAGAGAGAGGGAGATACAGAATCTGAAACAGGCTCCAGGCTCTGAGCTGGCTGTCAGCACAGAGCCCAACGCGGGGCTCGAACCCACGAACCATGAGATCATGACCTGAGCCAAAGTCGGACGTTGAACCGACTGAGCCACCCAGGCGGCCCTAGATACTGTATTCTTACAATGAAGTAAGCTAGAGAAAAGAAAATGACATTCATAAAATTGTAAGGAAGAGAAAATACATTTATAGTACTATGCTGTATCAGAAAAAACCCACATATAAGTTGATGCGCACAGTTCAGACCCACGTTGTTTAAGGGTGAACTGTGTAAGTACATGGTGCGCTGTTCTAACTTTTTGTGGATTTAAAATATTTCAGAATAAAAGTTGGGAGAAGTCAGATGTCTGTGTACGAAGTCAACAGAGCTTCTGGTACCAAATTGTATAGACTTGTAATATCAGTAATTCTGCCTTTTGGCAGTTCTTTGAAAGGTGTTGCCAACCTGATGGAACGATACCATTTTCACCATGATGCTACGTGAGAGATACTGTTAGAATTTATTTCTGGCTGGGGCGCCTGGGTGGCTCAGTCGGTTAAGCATCCGACTTCGGCTCAGGTCATGATCTTGCGGTATGTGGGCTCGAGCCCCACATCGGGCTCTGTGCTGACAGCTAGTTCAGCGCTTGGAGCCTGTTTCGGATTCTGTCTCTCCTTCTCTCTCTGACCCTCCCCCTTTCACACTGTCTCTATTTCTCTCTCAAAAATAAATAAAACTTAAAAAAAAAATATTTCTGGCTGTTTCTATATTACAGTGATTGAATTACTGTCAAAAGGATTTACTATCTTTGTTCGTCCACTCATATTTTTCTCCTTCCTACCCCTCTACCTCTGGTAGAATGCTATTATTCGTTTCACACTGCTGTTTACTCATCTTTTCTTACATAAATTATGTTTAATTTAAAAATATTTAACTTTGTAAGTATAACAGCCATTGTTTTAGGTGATGAAATTAAAACAAGAATATATGATATGGTTCCTGTGTGTCAAGGAATTTATACGGTAATAGTAATAATATGATTTGGGCATTTAGGGCAACTAAAACACACCTGTGAGGTGTTGTAATAATAATCCTAAGAGTTCTTATTTTGTAGAGAAGACAGATACAGAGAGATTAAGAAACTTGCCCCAAATGGAACCAATAGGAAGGGGCAGAATTCCAGTTTGACTCCGGGCCCACTGGGCCCTTAGTCCATGCCGCGGAATGCTGAGGAGACAGTTGTGCTTGGGCTGTGAAGGTGTTTGGTAAAGATTCCAGACCTTTGACATTTAACGGAGAGGATATATTTTACCAGTGATGGTGGGGAAGAGCATCACAGGCAGACAAAGAGCAAACTTTGATTAAAGAGGCATGAAAATACCTTGTGTGCTGGGAATGACAGACAAATAGTTCAGAGCGGCCAGATCATACAAGTAGCAGGGAGTGAAACTGGGAGGTGAACGGGGCCTATTGTAAAGAGCCGTCCATGTAGAAGCTTGAACTTTATTTGTAGATAGTGAGTAGCCATTGAGGGATTTTTTTAACTGTGATGCATTTAAAAAGTTGTGGTAGCAGTAGCGGCGGGATTGAAGAGCGCCTGAGCTACCAGTAAGGAGTTAGTGTCTCCATGTAGGAGTTAGGATTGCTGAAGCAGGACAGGGAACGTGATGGTAGCAGGAGACGCAGGTGGGACCAGCAGAGTGTGGTTTGGGGAGTGGGAAGGAAGCGAATGGTTTTAGTTTGCTAGACTTAGCAGGTAGTGGTGCTGTGAAGTCATGTTGGAGAAGAGGAGGGGAGTAGCATGGTCAGGGAAATAGCTTTGAATAGGTTGAGACTGAGTATCTGCTGAGCTCGTAGGTCGAGATTCTCACTTGCTGTTACATTCTAGTTTACCTTGGTGTTAGTGAGTCCACAGCAAGATGGTGTCCCTTAGCCTGTTTTTCTGGAGCATTCAGGTTCACAGTCGTCCCTTGTGACTTCAGTTACTTCTTCAGACTAAGTTCTGGAATAGTTAGTTGTAGCACGTTTAGTTGTAGATTCATGAGTGCATTCAAGTCGGGTGTAGCTGACACCATGGAGGTAACATCTGATGGCATCACGGAGGTAGCATTTAAACCTGATGGAACTGCTAATACAGGATTTTCAAACCCTGCAGCACAGGAGCTTTTCCCAAGCTGCCCAAGCTGTGGCTTTTTCTTTTTTTCCTTCCCTGTAGGGGAAAGAAAAGCATACTTAATGGTTTCTAAAACTGTGTGTGTGTGTGTTTTGTCCTTCCATGTCAGTGCGTAGCATTTAAAATAACCTATGTGTATGATCAATACGAGAATACAAAGTATGCCTTTAAAAAAAAGAATACTTCTTAAAGTGATTCATTGATAATTCATAGTCATAAAAATGAAACATAGCAAGAGACCTGCTAAGTCTCAGCAGGGTTGTTCTTGGCAAAATGTATGTTATTATACTCTTGGGTTGGCTTGAATTATTTGGCGTTTTCTTGTTGGTGGAGAAAGGGGCTGTGTATGAAGAAGTCAGGGGAGGAAGTGCAGAAGAACAAAAAAATACTAAACTTCGATCAATCTTAATTTTTCACAGCTTGGCCTTCTCTAAAGTCACATTTGGCAGAAACATTAATTAGATTTCAGTGCCCCACTGAGCTTTAAAATTAAACATATTTCTGGAACCATCTGTAACATTTTATCACTAATAATATAATAAAGAATATGCTTAGTCTTTTGAAAAATGGGAATTATAACAATATGTTTTGCTCACGAGTGATCATCTTTTATTATGAAAAGCCCATCACAATTTTTAGAAAGAGTTAAGAAGTAATTAGTTTTAAAAATATCCTTAAAAATAAAATTCTTTAAATTTTAAATTCTCTAAAATTCTCTAAAAATATTTTCGTTTTTAGAAATTGAGAATCTTCTCCTGAAATCCGGATTTTCCTTGGGATTTTATGCTTCTTTTAAATCTAAAAATATTGATGGTGGGCATATGCCATCTGCCTGGGTGAGACTGCCTTGAAGACCGTTGATAAAGAGCAATTGCTTTCATGTAAACTATAATTACCTGAACTGAGGACACGTGGGAAGCAAGAGACATAGTTGTGGTGGCTGAGAGTGCAGGTCCTGAAGCCAGGCTGCCGGGCTTTGAACCTCTCTTCAAACTGACTTTACTAGATAGGGGGATTTAAAAGTTATTTAACCCCCTTGTACCTCTGTTCCCTTATTTGTAAAACACGGACAATTAAACTTACCTCACAGGGTTGTCATAAGCTTACTGTTTGGAGCATAAAGTATATCTTCAGAACGGTTTTCCTTCCTGTATAGTCTTTCGTTTCCTTTGCTTTTGCTTCATCTACTTATTACACTCACAGAGGCCTCCAGAATAGAAAATGTGGGAATTGAGGAGAATTAACAAAATGGCAGAATCTCAGCTCACTCCTAAGAAAGGATTACTTTAGATTCTTTTCATGAGAATGAAATACTTAGGTACCTTCTCTGTGTCTGGCACTGTTCTGTGTCCGGGGACTGGGGAGACCGCAGACCTGTGTGCCTTTGCGGGGTGCAGAGTTGTTAGGGGAGAGTGCGTGTTAGGTGTGAGGCAGCAGTGGGCCCCTGACTCTTCCTCACCTGGTCCCACAGACAAAGGGGTCCCCGCAGACTTTTTGGCTGGGAGGGTATTTTTCTCTGTCTGAAAGGATGGAGTATAAATGTGCCTTCCACATTTGTGTCAGGCTGCCAAAGCAAAGGGACAGTTGAGCTGTGCGTGCCTGGTTCTTTTTCTAAATTTACTAATTAGGTGAGTCACTTTACCACCTTAGGAGTTGATGAGAGGTTGGACCACAGACCCAAATAATTAGGAAAAAACATCCCTTTCCTGGAGACCGAAAAAGGAAGGAGGAAGCACTTTCTGTACCACCTTCCCCGCTCCCCGGCTTCGCTCCAGATGCCAGCTTGGGTGACACCTGAGACCCCGGCTTGCATTTCCGGCCTCATCTCCTGGTGCTTCTTTAGAACTCCCCCCCCCCCCCCCCGCCCACGGTGCTGAATTACCCAGAACTACATCTGCCCGTGCATCCCACATTGTGCTTGATGAAACCCTGATCATCTTTCAGTTCTTCGTTAAGGGCTTGTGTTCTTAACATCTGCAGGTGGATTTGACTGTCCCTTCCACTGTGACCTTGCTGTCACCTTTTCTGGTCTTATGTTGTCACACCTGTCACAGCACTGTCTGTGTCCACGATAGTTGCCCTGAGTAGACATTGAACTTTGATCTTCGGGACAGCAATTTTTACTTATTTGGGATAAGTTTTTTACTAGTATATTGCTAGTTACATATTAATCTCCACACACATAAATACCCAGTTCTCCTGTAAGGAGAACTTCCTCTTGGTCATTGAAAACATTAAGATGCTAGAATTCAGTAAAATGTAACAGACGAGAATCAGATTCTGAAAGTCTTTTTTTGTTACTGCATAAAATGTATTGCAAAGTTAATAAAAAGTTCCTTTTGGTTTGATTTTGTAGAATACATAGCATTTTCAGCAATTAGTTTAAAAGCATTGGAAAATTTAAACAGTTCCTTTCTCTTTACCTGGCTTTAGCTGTGGAATACTGTTACTACAACTATAATCAATTCTCTAACTTTTTAAAGTTACATAGTATGTTTGCTAATTAAGAGCTTAACTTTCTTAGTAGTTGTTGTTGTTGTTAAGCAGCACTTTTTTTTTTTTCGTAATTTGGAAGCATGAAAGCCTTAAACAGTAACAATGAATTTCAATTTTATTTCAGCAAAAGCAACTGGAAATTGAAAGAACGACTAAGTGGTTGAAAATGCTAAAAGGATGGGAAAAATACAAGAACACTGAAAAGGTAATTAAAATAATGTTATTTCTATCGAATACTATACAAATTGAATGTGGAGTTTCCCATTAAAAGCTTTTCTTAAATTTTAGGAATATTATGTTCATATTCTTTTTAAAAATTTTGGTATAATTTAATTTAGTGAATTAGTCTTTATGTTGGAACAGGATGTCCAGTTACGAGGATGTACTGGGCAGTGTAGATGTAGGTTGGTTTCAAGAGTGATTTGCTTCAGACTCTCCGTTGCCTTGCCCGTGACTTAGTTTCCTTCCCCGTCTCTTCTCTGCCTTCTTCAGTATCTGCTTTCTCTTGAGGTCGGCTCCCTTTGGGATCAAAACCATTGCCATAGTCCGAGTTGTCACACTGCATGCCCACATGTCACACTGCTCAGGATGAGGCTGGCCTCTCAAAGCTTTCCCTGAAGCAGGAGCAGTCTTGTTTCCAGAAGCTTCTAGCACCCCCCAAATCTTTTTGCCCCGTGCAGTTGGTGCTAAGTTTTAAACCAATTAAAGCAACATACACATCTGTTTATTATCACCCCCAGTCTCCTCACAAGTACTTATATGTTGGGAAGCTGTGAAATTCATTGTGGTAGAAGCTGTTCTAAATGAAAAAAAGGCTCTCTGGTTAAATAAAGTTGGGAATATCAGAATGAACCAAAGTTAAGTCCTTTATTATAGGACTCCTTAGAGTCTTTACTATATTATAACATGTGGTAGGGAGACCACACCTTCCAGAGGACCTTAAATTAACTGAAACTTTTTATTTTTTATTTATTTGTTTATTTTTTATGTCTTTTATTTATTTATTTTTTTATTTTGAGAGACAGAGACTGAGAGCGAGTGGGAGAGGGGCAAAGAGAGAGGGAGACACAGAATCTGAACCAGGCTCTAGGCTCCGAGCTGTCAGCACAGAGCCCGATGTGGGGCTCAAATGCACGAACTGTGGGATCATGACCTGAGCTGAAGTTGGACGCTTAACCCATTGAGCCACCCAGGTGCCCCAAGTGAAACTTTTTAGACCGTGGAAATCTTTTTGTCATAGGGCATCTCACAGGACTAATGTCCCTTTTCTTCTTGAGCATCCTTAAATCCCCTTATTTAAAGTCTTTTAGACTCTTTTATTATTTTATTTTCATCAGGTGTAAGCTCATTTTGGGGTTGTCAATTTTATTAACTGTGTACATTAGCATTAAGGCATTTTCTGAGAGGAATCATTGTAGAGTAGAATGTGAGGTATAACATCTGTGTCCTTGTTCATTGTCATGTTGTCACCCAGATTGGCCTAAAGTTGGCACCTACTTTACCTCATGTCCTTGTGGAAAGATTGCTCAAGTGGGGATTACAGGGCAAATGTCGATGCACAGCACCTACCTTTCATCTCCCATCCAATCCCATAAGATATTTGTAGAATTATACAGCTTAATGTTCTTCTCTAGTATACATATATCTGTGAAAGTATGTAAGCCTGTGTAAAAATGAGCAATTCTACTAGTCTATTATTCTGACGGCTATTATTCTGACAGCAACTCTGGCTAATGTAGTTTCCAGTAAGAGAGATTTTAACAGAACTGTTTCTTTGATGTGTAATTTTAAAGCCCTTTCCCACAAGTATAATGCGGGAATTATTTGATGATATATATGGTCCAATTTGATGTGAAACAGAATGTACCTTCTAAAAGAATTGCTGCTTTCAGTTCTTATCTTGTTTTAAATTTGTACTGAATTTGTACTAAATTTAAATTTTGTACTGCAGAAAAAGTAGCACATAATTTTCTTCTCTTCCAAGAGGAGATATACGTTTTCTCTCCACAGGTTCCTTACTTACATAATGGTAATACAAAGAATTTTCTAAAAGTATCTTGAAATAAAGATATAGCTATGATAGAGAATATTGGAGTTGTTAGAATCCAAGCTTTAATGAAAGAATTTCCATTGTTGTTTGCAGTGCCTGTGTGTTCTGTGAACACTGTCTCTGTTTTCACTCTGCCAGGGTTGAGTCGTATTGGGTTTTAGAAAGTCTGCTAAATGCAGTTAATCTGTTTTTTTTTTTAAGTTTATTTATTTTGTGAGAGAGCAGGTGAGTGTGAGCAGGGGAGGGAAGGAGGCTGGGAGAGAGGGAGAGGGGGTGGGGGAGGGAGGAAGAGAGAATGAATTCCAAGCTGAGTGTGGATCCTGATGCAGGGCTCAATCCCACAACTGTGAGATCAGAACTGAGGCCATATCAAGAGTGAGACACTCAACCGACTGGGCCCCCCAGGCGCCCCACAGTTTACCTCTGTTACAATTAATTGGTTGTGAGGTAATTGTGTCTCAGTTGTGTCACAGATAAGTACCTATGACAGATACACTTGGTTTTGGTTTTTTTTTTTTTAAGTCAAATAACTGAATGGACGTTGTATTAGCATTTTATTTTACACTGGGAAAATGGAGGCACAAAGTTTGTAAATAAATTTCTCACGGTCACACAGCTTGTTAGTCGCAATCAGGAGATCCCACGTCTGACTCAAGAGTTGATTTATTGTACCATCTTGGGGTGCCCGGGTGGTTCAGTCAGTTAAACGTCTGACTTCGGCTCAGGTCAAGATCTCACGGTTCGTGAGTTCAAGTCCCGTGTCGGGCTCTGTGCTGACAGCTAGCTCAGAGCCTGGAACCTGCTTCGGATTCTGTGTCTCCTTCTCTCTCTGACCCTCCCCTGTTGACTCTCTCTCTCTCTCTCTCTCTCTCAGAAATAAATAAAACATTAAAAAAATTAAAAAAAAAAAAAACCATTTATTGTACCATCTTTTATGTTGGCTTTCCCTTTTGGTATTTGTCAGTGAAAGGCCAGAGGAAGTAGAAGAGAGTTACAGGAGGCAGAAGGGCCTCGTGTATGGTTTAAAGCTTTTGTAGATCCAGGGGCCCCTGGGTGGCTCAGTCATGTAGGCGTTTGACTCCTGGTTCTGGCTCAGGTCATGGTGTCACAGTTCATGCTGCACTGACAGGGTAGAGCCTGCTTCGAATTCTCTCTCAAAGTAAATGAATAAATTAAAAAACAAAGAAACAACTTTTTTAGATCTGGACTTGAGGGACTCCTGCCTCTCTGGATGCAGAGGTGAAGGAGCTAACGGAGCAGGAAACCTGAAAAGAGGCAGTAAAGAGGCAGCAGTGAACTTGGGTTTCATGGTGCACACTTGGGGTTTTGCACGTCCCCGGAGAGAGCCGTATTTGGTGGGCTGAAAAGCTGACTCCCTGGCCACTGTGATGATGTGGATGGCACATTTCATCACTGTTTTCACACCACTAAGGTTAGAAAGAAGTATTGAAAATATTAAGTCAGTGAATGGATTGTTTTTCAGTTGATGATTTTTAAAAGTATTTGTGTGACTAAAATAGACTACTTGATTCTTTTGGCGAGGGAACAAGATACGAATCAAAGGTAGATTTCAGGGAACCTTAGTTTATTTTTTCTTTAAGATTTGATGTATCATAACCATAGAATAAATTTCTAACAGAATTTCAAAGGTAGTACTTTTCAAATTGGAATATTAACATGCTGTTTAAATCTAACATATAGACATTTTATATAAAGGTTGTTAAAATGTGGTCTCTGAAGTCGAACTAAATTTCAGTTCTTCTGTATTTTATTAGTTTTATGACTTTGGGTTAGTTACTTTACTTTTCTGCACCTTAATTTTCTCATCCATAAACTGGGGATGATAATAATAGTTCCTCCCTCTTTAAGAACATGATAATATTGCATGAAATAAATTGATATAGAAACACATATGCTGGCTCCTAATAAATAATTGGAAAATGTTAGCATAACTTTTATTATTTAAATCGTTATAGTGATTCAATTCATTATTTTCCTCCCCGTCATCTGCACCCACCTTTCCCCTTCCTGGCCCATCCCTGCATCTCCTTCAGTGGTGATCTTCCCTTGCTCTGCCACGTGGCGTTCACTTCCCTCCCTCGTCACAGTATCTCTGACGCAGTCTCAGGAGGAGAGCCGCTCTTGTTGGGCCAGTAGGAAGTGACCGCGGGAGGTTCACTGCCCTCACCCGACACCTGTTTCCTCAGCCTTTTCTAGTTTTCCCTTTGATATGAGGACTAGCCACCCCTGCCTGTCTAGACAGTGTAGTGCCCACCATTCTGTTCCACCCTGGCCCCCTCTGAGTCCGTCTCTGTCACGACTTACCCATCAGCGTGTGACAGCTCGGTAGCCAGTAGTAGATGTGACTTTATTTTATGATAAAGGATTACACGTTGATGCTACAATTTTCTGCTTACCTATTTATTTTCACTGCTACACATTGAGTTCCGCAGAACTTTTTCATTCATAGCCATAGTTCCTAGTGAGTGTTGGCCACAAAGCAGGTAATCATTACAAAGTTTCTTTTTAGAATAAATGAGTGATATTCATTTATGAATTGGAATACACAGCTATCACCTTCTGCTGCAGTCTACTACTTAATTTCCAGCTGTGATCTCTTAAAAGGCAGTGTGATTTGGCGAAAGTAGCCTTAAGTAGGAGTAAGAAGATGAAATTCTTTGACTTTGGCAAGCCTCTTGTCTGGGCCCTGGTCTGCCAGCATTTGAAGGGGAGTCACACTCGCTTTGCCTCCTTTACAGACTGTTAGAGAAAATACAAGATATTACTCTGTCAATTAATAGAGTCTCAACAAATGGAAACTGGACTAGTGTTATGGAGAGTATGCAAATCCTATTAGTAACTGTTGTACTTGATATAATACCTACTTTGTTTTACAGAATTTCCAAAATTTCTATGATAGTTGAAAATTTGTGATGAAAACTATGTTACCATAATGCCAGTCTGTAATAGAACAGTGCGAGTTTTTGAAAAGCCATAAGCATAGTTTATTTTAGGACCTCAGAATTTAATTTTTCCTGATATATGTGACTTTGTTTATATGCTTTATTTCATTACATCCTAAAGTTTGGATTTCAGATACATCCATCCTTATATTCCTTTTAAGTTTTTTAATTGAAGTATAGTTGACACAGTGTTACGTTGGTGTCAGTTGTACAACTTGGTGAGGTGAGAACTCTGTATGTTACGCTTCCCTTTTAAGTACAGTCTCATTGTTATTTTTATGGTTTCTGCTCTGGAATTTCTTAATATTTTCTGATCCATGTATTTTAGTAAGTTCATTTGAGTGGAACAGTGACTACTAGTTATGTGCATTGCGGTCTTGGAAAGATGGTCTTTGTTTTTTATAAAATGTAAAATTATTATCTTTTGCTAAAAGATGGTGACATCTTATGTGTAACTTGGGCATATTATTTAACTTCTTTGTGATTCACTATCACCATCTATAAAATTGGGATAACATCTTACAGAGTTGTTGATATGATTAAATGAGAGAAACATCTATAAATAGTTTAAAATAGTTTCCTGCACATAGTAGATACTCAGTTAAAGCTATGCCTCATTTTTCATTTTAATTGTGGAGTAGCACTGGGATCATTAGTTTTTTCTTTCTACTTGATGTTTTTCTCTTATTTCTTCTTAATATAATCATCATTTGATTTTTTTTTTTTTAGCATGTCAAATCATGACCAAGTGAGGTTTATTTGAGGAATACAAAGTTAGTTTAGCATCTGAACATCAGTTAAAGTAATTCAACATATTAAAAAACTAAAAAAAGAAAAACACATCTGAATCAGTGTAGAAAAAGCATTTAACAAATCAAACATCCATTGCTGATAAAAACTCTCAGTTAAGTCACAATGGAAGGAAACTACTTTGACACAGTCCAGGGCATCTACAAAACTATCGCGGCCATCAGACTGTCCTGGTGAAAGAGTAAATTTTCTCTGCAAGCTCAGTAACAAGACATGATATTTACTCTCATCCCTTGCCATTTAGCATTATGCTGGAGAGTCTGACCAGTACAGTAAGAGAGAAAAAAAGCCATTGTCTTGAAAGGAAACAGTAAAACTGTCTTTTTTTTTTTTTTTAATTTTAGATTTACTGGAAGATGAAACATGGGCATTTGTGTATAGTTGTTGAATACAGAATTGAAGGAAAACAGTAAAATAATGTCTAAAGTCTTTTCAAGTAATAATAGTTTGAGAAATATATGTCAGAACTCTTATTCATTGAAAACATCAGCCTAATGGAGGTTCAGGTTCACCGAAGTTACTGTTTGCCTGCCATCATCTTCCACTTGACTGTTGAAATTTCCCTTTTCACATTTGCAGTAATGTCCACACCTTCAAATATTCATACCTGACGCTTATAGTATAGCATCTTTACAAATGTAGCAGATAATTTTTTTTTAATGTTTTATTTATTTTTGAGAGAGACAGAGAGAGAGAGCGCAGCGGAGGGGCAGAGAGAGAGGGAGATACAGAATCTGAAACAAGCTCCAGGCTCTGAGCTGGCTGTCAGCACAGAGCCCGACGTGGGGCTCAAACCCACGAACCATGAGATCATGACCTGAGCCGAAGTTGGACGCCTAACCAACTGAGCCACCCAGGCACCCCTTTAGCAGATAATTTGAAAATACTTTTAAAAAGGTAATAATATATATTACAGCTTTGGAATGAATGTAGATGGCAGACTTTCTTTAGTAAAGTAAATCTTAAATTTACTGTTTTTTTTAAACTATGCTCAGTTTATAGTTAACAGTGGTCAGTGTTTAGTACATGGGAAACGTTCCAAGTAGCAGAGTCTAGTTTACAAAAAACCTTTCCATATATATTCCTGCAGTTAGAGCGACTGCGTGAGTTAACACATTGATGATTCTAGTCACTGTGCTGAAATTTCACATTTGAGGCAGTGTGTTTATACCAGAAGAACAAAGCTGAAATTACATATAGAATTGAATCTAGAAATGAATCAACTTCTTAATATTCGCTATTTCACAGTAAAAGTTATTCTATAGTGTTAATCATTTTAAACCACACAGTCCGTGTCATAAAGCTACCTCATGACTTCGTTACTAAAGCTTTAGTGTCCCAAAGCTAGGTAGTACAAAGCAGGAGTTGAAATCCTGCTTGTTCGTTCATAACTTGTCAGCATTTCAGTTATTAGAACTTACATCTTGTTTTCTTAGCCATACTGTTAACATATGTTATTTTAATCATCAAAGTAACTATGTACGTATTCTTACCTTACTCCTTAAGATTTCTGCCATAATTTGTTTAATCATTGTTTGGACATTTACTTTAAAGGTTCAAGTTTTGTTATGCACAGCTTTGTAATGACCACAGTAGATGTGTATGTTATTTTGAATAATTAGCCTTGAGGGGAAAAAAGAGACAGTTACGAGAAGATGGAGAAGTATATAGAGTCTTAAGATTCGTAGAGTCACAGGAGCGTACAAGGACCCAAAGAGGTGGTGACGCTGACACTTTATTCTTCATTTCATTCAAAAGTGATGGCAAGGTGTCCCTGAAGAACTACTAAAATTGAAAAGAGGAGAGGGAACAGGGAGAGGAAGGGGGGAGGGGGGATCGCAGGAGAGAGATTGGGAGGCGCGTGTCGGGGAGAGAACTGAGGATTGAGGCTGGCGTTGGCTGAGTGGTGCGCTGTATAGACAGGCTACGCTGTGCCGACACGTTCTGGACAGCCCCAGAGAGGAGCTGCTGCAGGAAAAGGTATTAGGGGTTCCAGTATTCTCTGCACTCCGTGAGAACACTTCTGGGACAAGGCAACCTTTTTGTTATTTAGAGTCTTTTAGACAAAGGGAGGAAAAGGAAGAAAGTACATAACTAGTTACTTCTATCAATGGGGAATATGTAAATCAGATGCTCACGCCTTAAAAAAGAGCGCTGACTGTGCTTTCATGCGCGTGAGGGGTGCCTTTCTAATGGTATGAAAATACTAATCACTAGACATACTTACCGTCTCCTTACGGTGTCCTTTCTGTGTATGTCTCCCTGCCAGGATTGAAAGAGCAGAGATAATAGGATCCCCGTGCCCCATGTCAAAGTGTTATCACTTGCCATGGATGCTTTGAAAATAAAGGACTAATGAATATTAAGTAGTTTGATTGGAGGGGTCAGTCTAAGATTTGGTCATTTGTAACTTTCAATCTATGTTTCTTTTAATAAGTTTCATAGGAGAATTTACAAAGGAATCCCTCTCCAGCTCCGAGGTGAAGTCTGGGCTCTACTTCTGGAGATCCCTAAAATGAAAGAAGAAACCAGAGACCTTTATAGTGTGAGTATCTAAAGCTAACTTGTTTTGAAGTTGAAAAGTAAAACCATTTCCTTTGCTTTCAAGGTGATGTAAGATATTCATGTCTTTTGAAGTTATATTAAAATTATCCTACATTGAGTTTTATAAGTCTGTTATTTTCTTGATTGTTTTTTTAGTGCAGCCTACTTCCTAACTTTCAAACAGATCCTTCAGTGAAAATGTTATTGTCTCTATCAGTCCATCAGTCTCAAGGGCTTTGGGCACCCTTGAAATGATCAGTGTTGGGGCCTGTCCGTGAGGAAAATAGACTAACACCTGATCGTCGCTGCGATTGCAGTGAGGGGTGACTAAAGACATACCATGGCCCCCATAGACCTCGTGGGGAAACAGCAGAATCCCTTTCTTAAATAGCTGCCTGTAGGTGCTTGGCTGTTTCCTTCTGGGCATGAGAAAAAAACTTCCTCCAAGATTAGTCGGTATTTCTAAGTTTTGTTAGTTATTAATAAAAGGTCAAACTTTTGCCTCTGTGATGCGTGACACTTTCCTTAAATTAGCCAATACGTTAAATTTACCTTCTTGTCATTCCAGTGATACCCGTTCTAAACCCAACTTTTATATCAGTATTTGAAAGAAATAGGAAACATACCTGAAAACCATTCTGAAATATGTTTCTCAGAAAATGTGTATGAGTGGAATAAATTAAAGTAAAATATGATGGATAAAAGAAAAATTATTTATAATTTAAACCCAATACCCATCATTAAAAGGAGCTTTGGAATACTCTTGATATTTTCTTTTCTTTTTCATATAGTGTGTGTGTAAAATTTTACCAAGATGAAACATAATAAATACAATAATAAATAAAAATAAAGAGTTACTTATTTTGTGTGTCTGAAACGTTTTTTAAATTAGCTGTTTGGGCCCTACACGGACTATGGGTTTATGTCTTAGGCTTTTAGAGTTAGCTTAGCCTTTTGATAAGGTATTTGCTTTTAGTATCATAGCTTTAGAGCCAGTATTGAAAATGATGTCTGAGAAAACATACAGAATCTAACCCAGCGCCTAGAACAGTGTGCCTGCTGTATGGTAGGTGCTCATTAAAGTTTGGTTCCGTTGATGAGAGAACACCGTTCCTCGTCCTCAGCCTGCTCTGTGTTTCCGCGGGCCGCCGCAGCGTGCGCACACCGAGCGGCTCCCCACAGCAGCGGCGCCGCTGTCTCCCTGCTGGAGGACACAGGTGTGACGCCAGGGCGGTAGCGGGACCAGGGTTCTCTCAAAGCTCGGGGACAGTCCTTCCTGCTCCCCCTCGCTGCGGGGGTTGCCGGTGCCCCCGGGCTCGCCGCCGCATCCCTCCATCTCCGCCTCGTCTGCACGCGACCTTCTCCGTGGCCTTTCCTGTCTGTGTGTCCCACCAGATGAGGGTGCCAGTTGCTGGATTCCGTCTCCACCCCAATCCAGGATGATCTCATCTTAACTTGATTACATCTGCAAGGACCCAGATTCCCAAATCAGGTCACAGGTTCTAGGTTCTGGATAGACATGAGTTTGGGGGCCCTGTTCAGCCCAGCACAGGTACTAGTGGCAGCACTGCGCTTTCAGTTACCTTTGAGGCTTTTTCTGCATGGAATAGAGTGATCCGGGCCAGTGCCCTTAACACGAGAGATCCATTTAGTTCATGCCAGCCGTACGCCAACAGCAACAGAGATGACTTGCCCGTCAGTACTTTCACGGTTACCCTTTCCAACATGATCACTCATTCTTGTTTTTGACTCTTTGAGTTGTCCTGACATCATTATTTGGTGGTCTGCCTTTCCCATCCCTTCCTACTCTCCCTCTCCAGGGGTGGCGTGACTTGCTCCCTTCAGGTTGGAACTTCACTGGGAATCGAACTGCTGAAATTTTTCTCGGGCGGGTGAGATTGTCCCGGCTCCTGAGCTGGCGCTCTCATCCTCCACGTCCTCCTCTTCTTTTAGTTGTACCTCAGTGTCATCTGTCCCTCTCACGCCCTTGATCTGTCTCATGGCCAGCAGTTGAGTCCATTGCGGTTAACTACCTCACCTGTAGCCTTCTGGGAGGCTTCATAGTCTTGCTGGCCCAGCACACAGGGATATCCTGCGTTTGCATGTGAATGCTTTCCACTGCACTTCCACCTTCAGGCTTATAGGTCAGTAGATCTGATTTCTTTGAAATGAAATGTGTTATTTTTGTATTACTGTGACACTCCTGGGTCTCAGCCTACCCAGTCCCACGGATAACTATAGAAGCTGCCTTCCCTCCTTGTGCTGGGGTAAGAAATATGCTCGACTTCTTGTATTCTGTACACTTGTGTGTAAACGGGCGACGACATCATCTTTCTGACCTGTTATTTTTTTTTACTACTTAACTGGGATTTGCTTCTGTCTTGAGGCCTTTTTATGTTGGATTTTCTTGTTCTATAGAGAAACTGGTACTATAGATATTTTTGGGGTTCTGCCTTTGAACTATTTTCTCATGTCCTATAAATGTTTCCTTTTGTCTTTGACTTCTCATTTTTTGCCAGGAGGCCTGTAGGACAATAATTGAATGCTTTTACTTGCCAATTATCTTAAAAAAATTAAAGGACAGATACGAACAGACTATCAATTTTAAACTAAATTTTGATATCTTCTTAGACAACTTTTATCAGCGATAGCATTCAATAACATTTTAGTGGCCGTGTGATTCTAATACAGTACCATAAATATCTTCCTCTGTATTTAGGATTCTGAAGTAGACCATGGTTACTTGTCACGATTTCAAAAGCTACAGAGACTGCACTTCTCTGAGCTCCTGCCTCAGAACTCAAGAGGATACATAGTCATGAAACACTTAACACTTAAACTCATATTCCAGATAGTCTACTTCTTTCTACTTTTAGCTGAAGTCAGGAATTAGCAGTTATGTTTTTATATATGTGCATTGGAGTTAATTAAGGCCGATATACACATATAGATATAGATATATATACACCAGTACATGGTAAATGAGTCAGTATAATAATGTAAGTAGATGCTTAATTATACTTAAGCATGGTTAAGTATAGATTAATATAAATTTTAATCTCTTATCTAGTTAAACTTGGGAGATTAAATATATTCACTTAGCTCCCTGAAATGCCACTAAATTGACAGCAGAGTGTTTTTGAAAAGGCAAGCCCGCAGGGAATACAAAAATGGGAAGAGAGAAGAGCTGCCCATTTTTGGAAACCAGAATTCAGACAAACATGTAGTCAACTTAGCAGACCTGAGCAAACAAAATCCCAGGCTGGCTGTGGGAAGAGGGAGACGCAACCTGATTTATAGCTCAGAGCCTCCCAAAAGTGTGTTAGTTGCCACCTCCAGGTACCTCTGGGAGTGGGGGTGAAGCTGAGAACACTGAACGTGGTTCAGTGTCTGTGGCAGAAGCCGGCAGAGCCCGGAGGTCCCTCTGCAGCCCTGGCCCGAGACCGAGGTCTGCTATGTGGAGAGAATGAACCAGAAGGCCTCTGGACTGGAGAGCACCCAGACATCGTGGAGGGTGGGGCCGCTGTGGAGAGGGCACAGAAGAGTGTGTGTCCTGCACTGGGGGCATCCCGGGCTTCCCCTGCCCCCCGCCCCAACATTGGCTGCCAGGTGCTTGTCTTCCCGACAGGAGACTGGAAGAGACTTCTCTGGAGACATGCCCAGCCCAGACATACTGGCCTCAGGGGACCCCCAGTGAAGCTGCCCAGACACGTTCCTCTGCAGTGAAGACGTGGTGGTGAGGCCCCACCTCTGCACACAAGAGCTTTCCGTCAGCTTCTAGTGTTCTCCTTTTACATGGAAGCAGACAGAGATATACCACTGTTCGTTTGAGGAAAGGAGCTAACATGAAAGACAAACGAGAACAAATGGAAAAAAGAAAATTGTAAGGAACAGACGATAGAGCAAGAAGAAAACTTAAAAAAAAAGGAAAAAAAAAACGCCATCACAGATATCTTCAGAGGGATCAAAATAGAAATTACATCCATAAAGCAAGTACAGAATGCTGTGAAGAGGAGCCTTTGGGAACAACAGAGAGCTTATTAATTATAAAAATCGTAATAGAACTGAAAGATTTTGGAGAAGTTTGAGAATAACAACGGAAGGAGTTTCCCAGTAAGTAGATGGTAAAGTCAGAGAGATGGAAAATCCTAGAGAAAACATAAGAAAAGTAAATGACAGCCCAGGAGATCCCACACTGGCAGCAAGGGTTCCAGAAGGAGAATGCGGACCGCGGCAGGGAGGTTGGAGGAACCCGGCGGCAGGAGTTCTAGAAGGAATGACTTAGAACTGGGAGATGGGAGTCCGCGTTGATAAGATTGAAAAGACCCATCAAGTGCCCAACCCTGTGGATAAAAGTAGATACAAATCCAGCACGGAAATGTCAAGTTTCAGAATGTGGAGAGAAAAATGCCTGCAAGCTTCTGGAGAGAAAAAGATTTCATACAAAAAAACTAGAATTAGAGTTACAACACTGCCAGCTCTAGAAGACGGTGAAGGCAGTGCCTTTTGAGCAAAAATAGTTTCCAGCTTAGAATTCTAAAACAGCCAGACAAGTAAGTAAGAAGGAGGTAGAATTACCCGACATTCAAAGTTTCAAAAACATGTACCTTCCATACACCCTCCACAGGAGCTAATGGAGGCTGCGCTCCTCCAGCACGGGAACGAGCTGAGGAAGAAGAGGTGAGACCCAGGAAACGGGGCCCCCGTGAAGGATGGCCCCACAGAGGGTGAAGGGACAGCCCTGCACCCTTGCTGTGCGGCGTGTCCTCAGGCCGGAAGGCTGTGGCAGAGACGCCCGCAGGAAGCCGGACTGCGAGAGGACCTTTTCCACTGAGCAGCGGCAGAGGGGATCGATGTGCTTTCAAGTGAGTTGGGGACTGGATTAGCAGCAAGCACAAAGGAAATGAAGCAGATCAAGAAAGAAGGCAATGATTAGCTCAAAGGAAAACAAAAATCTTGTGCTGGAAAGAAAAAAGGAATCCTAGTGGACTGCGTGGCTCAGCTGTGAAGGGCCTTTACGTAGTCTGAGCAGCGCAAACTCGGGAAAGTTCTTCCTTCAAAATTAAAGTCTCTGTGGTTAAGGCGGGTGGGAGAAGGTGATGGGAAGGGGATAGGATGGGCATGAGGGACAGGGGTGGGTGGGGGGATCGCCTCACTGTGTGCCTTTTCATATTCAGTGGTCGACCACGGGCGTGATTTCCTAAATGAAAGCAGTTTTTAAATGAGAATTATGGTTTGGCTTATTTTAATGAGAATTATTTTCAACAGCTGATTTTCATAAAAACGTGCTTTCTTTTCCTCTTTTTTCTCTTCAGAAATTAAAACACAGAGCACGGGGCTGTTCACCTGACATCAGACAAATAGACCTTGATGTCAACCGCACATTTAGGGACCATATCATGTTTAGAGACAGATACGGTGTTAAGTAAGTAAACTTTAATGTTACGAAATATAAATGGCATTTATAAATAGTGTTTATTAAAGTCTCCATTAGCTTAAAACATGAATGAGTAAAATGTCTTATATGAACTGTAATTTTAACATACGTCCTAAAGGTTTAAGCTCATTTGGTCCGTGCTGTATGAAACTTAGGGTGTAGGTTAACTGAACTTTTTTTTTACCTTTGACATAGAAGATAAATACAGTTGGTAAAGAATCATTTTATGATCCAAGAATGCTTAAAAATACAGTAGCTACTTTTATTACAATCTTAGTAAATGAAATTAGAGGTTGTGTTACTTTTGGAGGACCATGTTGGTGACAAATAGATCCCTATCAGTGTGACCCCAGTGCACAGCTGAAACAAACAAGAAAGAGGAGTGAATGAATGAATGAATGAGTACTATAGTTTATGAGCGAGAGGAATAGTTTTGTTGACCTCAGGATCAGCTAGAGTTCAACAAGAGAAACAGAAACCGGTGAAAGATGTGTATTCAGAGACTTATTGAGAGGAGTTGGTTTATACATAGCAGGGGCTGACTAGGCACGTCCCCTTGGGTGGCAGGCCATCAGAAGGGACAGGCTGGCACTCCTGAGCACAAGCCGGCTGCTTTCCACAGGAAGAGAGGCTTCAGGGAAGCCTCACATCAGCTCTTACAGCCTTTCAACTGATTGGATCGGCCCGGCCAGACTATTTGGGACAGTCACCCCTACTTAGAATCACTGATTATAGATTGTCATCGCATCTACAAAATGCCTTCTTTCAGTAATGCCCAGGTTAGCTTTTGAATAACTGGGAGTTATAGCTTAGCCAGGGTGACACATAAAGCTGACTGTGACAGTGTATCCTTGTTGACTCCATTTCCAAATACACATAATACAAGGTCATGCTTTTGCCTAACATGGCTTTACCTAGGACTGAACTATTTTGCCCAGGACTAAAACTATGCTAGTCCTTTCCCCACAAGACGATGCAAAGTCTTTGGTGACAGTTACTCTTTTGCTTTGATATTAATAAAACCTAAATACTGTGATGTAAAGTTTGTTATTATGAATATATCTGACTGATATAGCTAATATGTTAGGTGAAAAGGGAAAAGGAAGGAGGAAAACAAAAATATTTTTAAATATATATGAATACACACACACACACACACACACACACACACACACACACACACTCATGCCAAAACAAGAAATGCTCAGAACAGTGATAACCGTCTTTTCTGTGACTGGACACATGGTTGTGGCTGGTTTCCACTACATATTTTATATTCCCTTTGTCCTCTGCAGGTACCTCAGCTGGTTGTGGTTCTCTCCCTGGGGAGGGGCGGGGTGGGGTGCTAAATTTTAATTCTGGACCATTAGCAGTCTGGTCTAAATTAGATTGCTGTACTTTCCCATTGACTTTAATTGCAAGGCTTGGTTATACTGAAGAGACCCCCTAGGTATTCTCCTGGGTTCTGGACACAGTCTTCCTTATACCCACTGTGTAGTAGCAACTCAGCGTCTCCTTAGTAACCAGGATCAACCACTCCAGCCTGAACAGTCAGCCTCCTCCTTTGGCTATGTATTCAGAGGCGCGAGGAGCCACAAGTGGCTGGGTGGCAGTCTCCACTGCCAGTTCAGGGGAGTCACTGTGTCTCCTGGCGGAAACATTTTTCCCTTTGAACTAGGACTCCTGGACCAGCGGAGCTTAAGGCCGATGGGACGGGAAGCAAACATTTTGCTCGTGGACTACTAGGGACCATAGTGGGCAGAGCCATCCCCGTTTCTGCCGCTTGAATCTTGGACCCCAGCATCCTGGCTGTGGGACAGATAGCACCATGTGGTGGGGGCTCGTTGAGAGCACATACAGCCCCCCACACGGTGTTGTCCCGCCCTGCAGGGATCGTACCGAGCGGGCACTGTACCGTAGCCTCGCGAGGCTCCCTGGTTCTAGCAGGCTGGCTGCTCCCAGGGGCGTGATTCTATAGTGAAAATAGTTCAGTGAAGGGTGGCAACAAATTTAAGAGATTGTGAAGCCCTTTGTGTGTTTTGGTATAAATTTTATCAGAATAGATGTCATCTAGCCTTAAATTTTGACTGTATGGGGTATTGTTCACATTTGAGCTAGGGGGTCATTTCTTGGTTACAGTAGTGATTTTGTTTAGATTATCTGTTTTCAGGCAAACTATGTATTTACTTAAGTTGGTAATTTTAAAAATATGTGAAATAAGTAAATTGTGTTCAGTATAAATTCTCTTTTCTCTAGGCAACAATCCCTATTCCATGTTCTTGCTGCGTATTCTATTTATAACACGGTAAGTTAGAGCACACCCGCCCCCGGCTCTTTGAGTGGTCTTCTGAGGAACTGGAGGAACTCGTGGGGCTCCCCCTGCCTCTCTGGGCCTTTTCAAAGCTGCTCTGGTGACCCTGGGGTCTTAGAACAGAGCTGATTTGGATGTGGGAAAAACCACTGTGTGCCGGGGAATCTCTCGTTTTCCCCTCTTTCTCTGGATTGTTTCGTTGTCTTGTGATGTTGTTTGTCTTGTTTTTATTTTACGCAGTAGCGCTACGAATGAGCATGGCTAGAAGTTTAGGGAGTCAGTGGGAAGATTAATTTTTGCTTGACCCTTGATCACTCCTCACCACCCCAGGGACCCAGGTTGCCTTTGAGGGTCACGTTTCGTTCACTCAGTGAGGTCCATACAGTAGACCTCTCCACCCACTTGCTAAGCCCAGGACTAGGCTCAGAGTAAACCTTTTCTTAATGGACCACGGGGGAGGATGCTAATTTGGGGAAAGATCGCTTAATGTTGAACCTAATGCGGATGTTAAATAAATGCTTGTTGACTGGGTTCTAAGGAGGACAACCTTGAACCTTGGGTGTGTAATTTCTATTACATTAAAGCCTCTAAGTTATGAGAAATTGCAAGCAAGTTAAAGAGTTTATTAAAGGCCTTTTCATAGAAATGAAGCAATGGTTGGGCCTCATGGAATGTGGAGCTGGACAGTGAGAGTGAGGAGATTTGACTGAGAAAGATGGCTGTACTCTGTCTTTTCCACTCTGGGGCCACGAAGTTACTCTGATTATCTCTGTAAACTGTTTGCCCCTCTATCTCCAGATTCCTTTCTTTGCCTACTTTTCACTTTTCCCATGGCTAAAATAGCACCCACAGACTCACCATGACCATTCTCTTTAAGCGCATTCCACCATCTGATTACAGATCTCCTGGAGAGAGTATGTGATTAGTCAGTGCAGCTGATGAACTGTTCTCTGGAGTCAGGTGACCTCTTCTCCTCCAGCAGCTTCGGTTCATGAGGCACAGACACGAAGCTCTGAGGCCCCATTGTAAGCAGGGAGTCTGGGGAGAGGAGGAGTATTGAACTGAGAATCATAGACACAGAGGAAAAGTAAACAGCACCCTTTACAGAAGACATAGCAACAGTACTGAATGGGCAATAACAAAAATACATGTAGCTTTAGATTTCGTCCACACTTCTGCATTTATTCTTGAATACAAATTTATTCTTTTATAACATATAGCTCAGTGTTGTAAAAATTGTAGTCTTTATCTGTAGAATTACCCATTGTTTAATGTGTTTAAGCATTTTCTGATTATTTTGTAGGGCAGGTTTTTATATGCGTGTATTCGTGTGATTCGATCTGAAAACCCCCAGTCTCTTTGTTCTCGTTTACCTTCAGGAAGTTGGATACTGTCAGGGGATGAGCCAGATCACGGCTCTGCTCCTCATGTACATGAATGAAGAGGATGCCTTCTGGGCCCTGGTCAAACTGTTCTCAGGCCCCAAACATGCCATGCATGGTAAGAAAACCCCAGAGTTTACAAAACACAATAAACAAGGAAGGGAGAAAAGGTAAATTAAAACGAAGTCAAACTTTGGAAGATGCTTTTTAGGGTTAAGGACAAAAACTTAATGTCTGGGAGCTTGTTCAGCTGATTAGTGTTTGTGAGTCATTTCTTACTTCCTCCTTCTTTATTGAACTTTGCTAAACATTTCTGTTCACGTTTATATCTGTTGTGTTTACCTCGAGGTATACTGTTGGCATTCTGAAATTCTTTCCTCACCTGCCCCTAGTTGGAAGAAACTCGTTCAGGTTTGGAGGAATTTAGGAAGAGCTGTGTTACTGGGAGAAATAAAAGCTGTCTTTTGACCACAACGTTTAGATTGTCACGCAGTTCTCATTTCAGTGACATGCGTGCTTTATTTCTTTTAGCCATAAAATTTATTCCATTTCCCAATAAAAGGCTGCTGATAGCATGCTGTGGGTACTTTCTTATTTAATATCTGAAAACTTGCATGAGTGTTTGGTTCTCGGGTTAGAAGATTGTTTTTAATAACCTTTTTCCTATATCTGCCACACATGTTCAAGAAATTTTAAAGAGTTTGGATTGCAGCTTCTCTCAGAAATAAAAGTGCCACTTGCCCATATAATGCAAAAGTATGTTCCCAGTGCCATCCATGTGATAACACCAAGTTAAAAACATTTTTAACATGAATCACTTTAAGAAATGGATCATCTAAGTTCCATTTGTGAGTAAGCTTTATGCGGTGAGGAACCTGCCACATGTTTAAAGTGATATTTTAACGTTTTCAGAATTAGGACTATAGCTTATTAAATCTCACATTCTTACCATGTGGTTTTCTATGGTGGTATTTTGTGTGGGGGTGGGGGTGGGGGTGGTGGTGGTGGTGGTGGGGTGTGTGTGTGTGTGTGTGTGTGTGTGTATACATGCACACACAATTGGCCGTCTCCCTCAGTTTTCCTAGTGAATTTTTTTTTTTTTTTTTAATGACCACTGTTACTTCTCCTCCTCCTAATGAGAACCGTTTCTGGACACTTGGTGTCCCATCAGTAGACTCCACAAGTAAGAAGTAAGATGCAGCATAATTGAACTGCCATCCATCAGCCAGTCATTTGAAAGGGCATCTTGAAGAAAAATAATTGACCCTTATCCATCTTTGCCTCACCATGGGCTGGTGTTGCTCATCTGTGTGAAGTACAAGGGATGTTACAGTCTCTGTAGTATGCAGTCACGTGGAAGACTGCCCACGTTCAGGGAAGTCCTTTCTCTCAAACATACCTGACAGCTTACTTTCAGCAGTTGTCACCAGTCTGATCTGTAAAATAATATTCTTACTATCCTAACGTTTGCATTTGTTGTGCAGCTTAGGTCGTTATTGTGGGTAAGTTTGTACTTAGAGATTCTTGCTTCTAGGTCTGCCGAGGGGATTTTATAACTAAAGGTTGCCTCGGTTCTTTGCATCTCCTGTATGATAGTGATGTCATTTAGAAGTGTGTAGAATAAAGTGAGGGCTGAAGAAAATGAGATTTTAAAATACCAAGTCGGGGACATCACTAATAAGTGAAGAATGTTATTAGCATCCTTGAGCTGGTGTTTATTACTGAGGGGCATTGCCTTTTTCAAAATGAGACTTTCCTGAAATTCTTCCAGTTCCCATTCCTATCATATTGAACAGGAAAGTGGCACAGATACAGATTTTTTTTTTATGACCTAACTTCTCTGGAAGATGTTACTATGGGAGGCATAGAATCTCGATCTCTGGAAATTTTTATAAGTACCTTAGAAAACTCAGTTAAGAAATAGTCCTTCCCTAAAGATTGTAAAGCAGTGTGTCCCAAAAGCATGTCTCTTGGGTTCTTGGAGGAACACAGTTTTAATTTTGGGAAACAGATGTTCTATGAAAAAAAGGATGGACTCTAAGATCAACTAAGTCTGGCGGAGAGAGCTAAACAAAGTTTCTTTAGTTTAGAAAACATGTTAGAAGCATTAAGAAGCTCTTATGCATCATGAATATGCAAGAAGAGCTTGTATGACACCCGGTCCTTCCTCTGGATTCTTTTTTAAAGACAGAGGACAGCTATGAGCATCTTTCAAAAAGTTGCAGAAAGCCCAGGCTGGAAATAACTAATTGGAGAAATGATGCATCTGTTGAGAATACATCCTGTTTAGAACGCATTGTGTAGAATACCTGAATGGAAACTTGTAAATAAGTATACATGTGAGGTTCCGTGAGGTAAATCTACAAAATCTGTGCTAATTTACCATTGATGATTTGTTACTTCCTAGAAATCTTACAGATTGTATTGTATAATCAGATGGGATAAACTACAACTTTAGATATCACACTGACCGTATAATACATGCCAGAATGTCTTAGCTGATGTCAGTTATCACTTACAGAAGGGATTAAAAGCGATAAAAACGTTGGAAGCACAGGACTAATGAAGTTGTTAAAGTAAGCCTGAAAAAAAGTAATGTTATATAGTATGTTGACAGTACAATAAAATGATAAGGCATCAAGATTAGAATAATCTGTAAAAAAATTTGTGCATTTAAGCCATGAGGGGCTTTTAAATCCAGAGAGCAAACTGAGGGTTGCTGGAGGGGTTTGGGGTGGGAAATGGGCTATGTGGGTGAGGGGCATTAAGGAGGGCACATGTTGGAATGAACACTGGGTGTCATATGTAAGTGATGAATCACTGAATTCTACTCCTGAAACCATTGTTACACCATATGTTAACTAACTTGATTTTAAATAAAATAAAAAAAATAAATTTAAAAATATTTGTGCATTTAAGATATGCTTTAAGATACTTTAAGAGAACAGATAATCCCGATCAGTGGCTTCAGTTTTTATCTTTTCTTAATTTCTCAGTTTCCCTTTTAATTCAGAAATATTGTCCTCTTTTATATTTTTACAAGATTATAGGAGATCTTTGGCAAACGAATGCCAGACCATAAGTTTCGTTACCCAGAGCTCATACACAATTATTTCCTTGCTGGGGAGGACAAATATCTTACTAATTCCTGGATTTTTGTTGTTGCTGACAGTTAAAAATGAAAGCAATGTGCTGTATTTTAAAAGAAGGATTTTTGTTGGTATTATTTATGAAAAGCAATGTTTTTTATGTTTGTATTCTAGGCTTCTTTGTTCAAGGTTTTCCTAAACTCTTGAGGTTTCAAGAACATCATGAAAAAATACTGAATAAATTTCTATCCAAGCTTAAGCAACACCTGGTAGGTAGATATGACATTGACTTACACCCACTTAAACCAGGAATGAAACTAGAGGGATTGAGTGCAACCTTTGGTCTCACTTACTTGACTGATTTGCAGTGTTGTCCAGTTCATTTCCTATGCACTTGTCATTGCCAGGTATTTGAAGAGCATGAGATTTGTGAAATTAAAATTTTTTTAATGTTTAGTTTTGAAGGAGAGAGACAGACTGTGAGGCAGGGAGAGGCAGGGAGAGAGAGAGAGGGAGACACAGGATCTGAAGCAGGCTCCAGGCTCTAAGCTGTCAGCACAGAGCCTGACACAGGGCTCGAACTCCTGAGCCGCGGGATTATGACCTGAGCCGAAGTTGGACACTTAACCGACTGAGCCATCCAAGCACCCCAAGATTTGTGAAATTGAGTACTGATGAACCATCACAGCCCTAACTCATGGAATCAAACTGTGAGTTTGCAGATGATATATACAAATAATACCGTTTTTAAAGATACATTATTTCTCAGTAATTTTGGAGGCTTTTTTATGGCACCAAAAGTACTTTAAGGTTCATACAGACATCTTTAGTGAACCATATGTATGCTCTACTATAAAGCACGATAAATTAATAAAGCAGGGTTAGTTCACTGTAAAATGTATTCTAGAAAATCAAACTGTATTATAATCCTGTATGAGAAGGATTTATCCTTAAAGTGATTTCCAGAAGTGAAATTGAGGGAGAAAGAGAGCAAGAAGAGAAAAAACTAGAAATACTCCAGCATGAAAAAGATTTGGAATAAAACGGTTTTATGTCTAGTTTTGACAGCCACCTCCCAACAGCTTTCCTAACTTTTAGTATTAGATTGTCATATTTCATTTTCCGCAATCCAGAAATTTGAAGTCCTTGTTTTTTTCAGGATTCTCAAGAAATCTACACAAGTTTTTACACAATGAAATGGTTTTTTCAGTGTTTCCTTGATCGTGTGAGTATTTATTTACAAACCCAATCATAAAATTATAAATACCAGATGAGGGTGAGCTGTTAATCTTATCTCTGTTTTGTTTTCAATTATAGACTCCCTTTACACTAAACCTCAGAATATGGGATATCTACATCTTTGAAGGAGAACGAGTTCTTACCGCTATGTCTTATACAATCTTAAAATTACACAAAAGTAAGAAAATGTTTAAGTCTAAGGATTTCACGAAAATCAAGGCTTGATTTAACTCTGATTTCTCATTCCCCGCCCAGTTTCAAATTCATTTTCTATTTGTGGTGGATTAAAGAAATTCTTGAAAGTCCATGAAGAAGCCCTGTTCAGTTGGTAATTGGCTTTCCTTGGTTCTTTCACATGACTAGAAGCTGATTACATTGCAGAGGTCTTGGATTGGTTTTTCTATTTCAGTTTCATTTTCACACTGAAGCAATAGAACGCAGTGCCCTGATTTCGCTGATAATATTCTTCTGACCAAGCGTTTGCTTCCGTATTCCTTTTCATCGGTCTGAATCCCAGGCTTGTAATCAGAGACGAGAGAAACCGGGCCCTTAGTTCAGAGGTCTGGAGAGAGGACACTGTCCATCACTGTCCCTTCATCCAGGAAAAACGCATCCAGCAACAAGCCGTAGACTGGAGGTGGGGAGCCTTCTGCTTCTCTCTCACCTGACTGCATGGTCTCTGGGGCAGCTGCAGCCACTGTCTCCAGCCGCTTAAATGCAGCAAGGCTTTCAAGTCTTCCGTTGCAGGCTTTCAAGGGCTGTTTAAATGTGGCATGGTAGGCCTTACTTTAGAAATCAGGAAATGAGAGTTTTCTTCATGAAGATGAAGAGCCTTCTTCACCTTTCAGCCTCTGTTCCACCTTTACAGTTGTAACTCCTCCTGGTAACTCCTCTTGTGACTGCAGAGAAGAGAGCCCCCGGGAGCCTTAGAGCTTCACCGAGCACCTCAGGCCTACATCTGGGACGCAGTTTCCCATTTGTTCATCACCCTGCCCTCTTAGGTTATTCTTGGAAGACTCATCTGTTCAGCTTCCCACCTAAATTATAAGCTAACTGAGTACTTGGGGTCATGTTTTGTAAGTTTTCTCCCCCTGTTGTGCTTGGCATTGTTCTAAGTACATGTTAGGTAGTTTAATACAAAATCGTTTGATTGCTTACTTGAAAAACATGACTTCAGATTATCCAAAGTCTAGACACAAATGAAAAGTCCCTATAAAATCAAGTGTGTATTGTTTACTCTGAAAGGGAATCGGAAGTGCTGTGCTTCAGTTCGCTCACAGCCAGCCCTCACTCCTGCAGCACGCAGGCCACCGCGCCCCGAGCTGTGTCCCGAGCCTCGGGGGCTGTCGCAAAGCCACGAAATCAGTCTCTCTCCATCTCCCCCACCTCATTCTCTTCCCTCCCCCCCTCCTCTCCGTGTCCTTTCTCCTTTCTGGATCATGAAGTGACTAAGATGTGGAACAAAAGTATACTTTTTATTAAAAAATATATATATATATATATTAGTTTAGTGTTTGCTAAACAGTGAGAAGGTAGAATCATGATGTTGTATTTCTCCATAGCCCTGTTCACCACTTTAAATTATATTTTATTTATATGACTTTTAAAAAAAATGTTTATTAATTTTTGAGAGAGAGGGAGCACAAGCAGGGGAAGGGTAGAAAGAGAGAGGGAGATAGAGAATCAGAAGCGGGCTCCAGGCTCTGCGCTGTCAGTGTAGAGCCCAATGTGGGGCTTGAACTTCCAAACTGTGAGATGATGACCTGAGCTCATGTCAGACACTTAACCAACTGAGGCACCCCTTATTTATATTACTCTTGCTTAATTTTGGCAAGTGAAAAGCTTCTTCACCCTTTGCAAGTAAACTTGAAGCATAATAATTACTTTATATCCTATCATATCTTTGGGCTAAATAGCTATAGGAAAAAAATGTGTCTGCTGCTTCATAGGTTTTTCTTAGTTAGGAAGACAGAAGCTCTAGGATTCATGCGAAGGTGCTTCACTACCATCTAAAACTTCAAAAACTGTGTCTGGGCACCTTAATCAGCGACAGCTTCTCTACGATTTTGTTCTTGTTTTTTTCTTGATTGCCTTAATCATATTTAGAGACATTGTTATGGGAGGTTTTTCACACAGTGGTTTTAAATAGTAAAATAAATAATAATAATAATAACCTAACTGGTGTTAGACGACTAAGTAAATAGTACATATATGCAGTGGACTCAAAAGTATAATCAGGTTTTTAAATTGATACATGTGTATACACATTCTACTTGTAGGGCAGTGGCTAGTGGGATCTTAGCTGATTTTTGCTTTCTATTTCGTATCTGTAATTTGAATTTTTTTTTTAAGTAAAACTAGTTTCATAAGTAAAAATACAAATAAAATTAATCATCTAGATTCTTTGGAAATTCTGACAGAGTAAAATAGAGACTTGAAAAGGGTTCATGTGTGGGAGGTGGAGCTCCCTGACAGTAGACCAGAAAGCCCTCACGTCATCCTGGCTTGCCTGTGTCTCTAGCAAGTGCTTGTTCTGGATTAATATTAATGTCGAAGGTATGGATAGTCTTAAGTAAACCAGTGAAAAGGTATTTAGCAGAATTCATGTCCCCCTTCTCTCCAGAGTACTTGCTTTTCTCTGTGACTGCTTTAATGTCAGAAAAAATTGTTCTACATTTATTTATTTAGAGAGAAAGAGAGCACGTGTGCGAGCGTGTGAGTAGAGGGAGGGACATAGAGAGGGAGAGAGAGAATCCCAAACAGGCACTGCACTGTCAGCGCAGAGCCCGAGGCAGGGCTTGATCTCCTGAACCATCAGATCATGACCTGAGCCGAAATCAGGAGCCAGGCGCTTAACTTACTGAGCCACCCAGGTACCCCAGAAAACATTTTTATCTTTCAGAGCGTCAGTGGTATTTACAAAGCTATGTACAAGCTGTATGCTGTGCCCTTGTTGAAAAATACAACCCCAGAATAGAATGCATTATTCTCTCAACCTGAAATAGCTGTTGCTGCAGTGTTTGTACTTCTCTCATTCTTTCTTAGAACACCTGATGAAACTGTCTATGGAAGAACTCGTAGAATTCCTTCAGGAGACCCTGGCAAAGGACTTTTTCTTCGAAGATGACTTTGTAATAGAACAACTTCAGATTTCTATGGTAGAACTGAAGCGCGCAAAATTAGACCTTCCAGAACCTGGTAAGAAATACTCAAGGACTTATATCTAAATCATAATTAAAGTTGGGAAACACGGTGTCATTACCACGGACCATTTCTGTTTCAGAATGTAGCATTGTGTGTACTTGTGGAGGGCAAGCTGCTCAGGGCATCGGGCTTATTTTAAGAAAAAGCAAATAAACGCATTAATGAAATCTGCCTCTCCTAATAGAATAACTGCACTGCCCCTAGTTAAATGTAGGAGGTTTGGGGGGCAAATGATACTGATCAAGAGAAGTAATCTTGGCGGTTTAAATGAACATAAACAGTGACCTTTACGTTCATCATCTCATGTTGTAAAACTGTAAGTAATAGCAGAGAAAGTAAAAGATCCCCTTTGGAGAAGAGGAAACTGATACTGGAATGCTTCTGTCCGGAGCTGCGGACCAGCAGGTGGCAGTAGTGACCCTGGAGCCCAGGGGTTTTGTGGCCCCTGGTCCCGGGTGCCTTGCAGTATGTTGCTGTGTAGATAATATATTTCATTTGCTTCTTTCTTTCTTGTAAAAAAAATATTTAAGTTAATTTTTATTTATTTTGAAGGAGATAGAGAACAAGCAGGGGAGGGGCTGAGAGAGGGGTGGGCAGAATCCCAAGCAGCCTTGGCACCATCAGTGCAGAGCCCTGTGTGGGGCTCGAACTCATGAACCCTGAGATCATGACCTGAACCAAAAGCAAGAGTCGGATGCTTAACTGACTGAGCCACCAGGCGCCCCTTAAAAATTTTTTTTAATGTTTATTTATTGTTGAGAGTGAGGGAGACTGAGTGCAGTTGGGGGAGGGGCAGACACACATAAACACACACACACACACACACACACACTCTCTCTCTCTCTCTCTCTTTCTCTCTCTCTCTCTTTCTCTCTCCCCCTCTCCCTCTCCCTCCCTTTCTCTCTCTTTCTCTCTCTCTTTCCCTCCCTCCCTCCCTCCCTCCCTCCCTCCCTCCCTCCCTCCAAAGCTGGCTTCAGGCTCTAAGCCATCAGCACAGAGCCTGATTCAGGGCTCAAACCCACGAACTACGAGATCATTACCTGAGCCAACTCGGATACCTAACTGACTGAGCCACCCACGCACCCCTTATTCGCTTATTTCAGCACATCTTCCAGCACCTCCTGTTAGATTTTCTGCAGGGTGCTGTGCAAGAGATCCTGCAACTGAAGAGAAGGACATGGGTCTTGTGTCAAGGTGCACACAGGAGAGACCGAATTCATACTGTCTGATAAGTGACAACACAGGAAGTGTAAATAAATAGGACAGATGGGGAAGGATCAAAGGAAGCAGAGGATGAGAGCTAAGAAAAAAGAAAATGTGGGAAGATCACAGCAAGGGTAGCTCAGAGTATTACTTGCAATGAATGATGTCCCGAGAAAAAGGCATTTTTCGCCCATGTCCTTTCTTGCCTTTTAAAAGAAAGGACACTGGAGGGTGTGGTAGGGAGGAGGGAAGCGGGAGAGCATGCAGAGAGGTGCGGCGTTCAGTGCGGTCAGGGGCTCTGCCCTTAGTTGGAGTCGGATGGGACATTTCCCCGTTGCTGGGGCACACAATTTCAGTCTTGGATATGTCTGTGCGGACAGGCAGACATACCTTCATGGAAGGTACATCTTCTTCCCTTTGGTAAAAATCAAAGTGCTCTGCTTTTAGTGACTTAATTGTGAGGGGTCCAGTTAGCGTTTCTCTGAGGTTCATTCTGGGTCATCCAGAATCTCTAGGAAACAAAACGTCACAGCAGTGATTGTGGTCAGCGGCCTGTGAAACCGTCACCTTTGCTAAGTGAGGTCATCTCGTGTTCAGTGCAGTAAAGTCCATTCCCTGCTAATTCTTTACCTGGAACAGCGATGACTAAATGTGTTCTTGCCACTTTAACATTTATTTTATTTTATTATTGTTTCTTTAATGTTTGTTTATTTTGAGAAAGAGAACGTGAACAGGAGAGGGGCAGAGAGAGAGAGGAAGAGAGAGAATCCCAAGCAGGCTCTGCACTGTCAGCACAGAGATCAACTCAGGGCCTGAACTCATGAATCATGAGATCATGACCTGAACCAGGACCAAGCGTCAGGTGCTTAACTAACTGAGCCACCCAGGAGCCCCTAACAGTTGTTCAAATATCTTGCATTCTTTTAAAAAGAGTTAAGTTGGAGTAAAAGACATAGAAAAAATACATAGTAGAACTATTTAACCATGAGAATAAATTATAGAATAGGATGACGTAGCATCTAACCTGCGGGTATCATTTCCTGACTGCTTAGTTAATCTGCCACTTACTACACACATCGTGTCGTTTATTCCCTAAAAATAACGCCAAAAAAGTACTCATCTGCATTGTACACATGAATAAATTTAGTAGCAGTAATTTGTAAGATCTTTTTACCAGGAAGTGGTAGAGTGTGGCTGGAGGGGGGTGTGGAGGAAGGGAAAGGGAGAGCTGAATAATCCCAGAGAACTGGCTGGTGTTTGCTCTGATCCTACTGGCAGTTAAAGGGAGCGTGGGGAGGTGACTCCCAACTTTCTCGGACAAGACTCTGGTTTTCACCTGTTTTCTCCTGCTCCAGTATTGACTTTCTGGACTTTGTGCCACGCAGCCTGCTCGCTGTCTTCCTCTTTCAGTGACTGCAGGTTCTATATGGAGCATTAAGATGGTTCAGGGATCACTGAAGCAGGAATTTAAGTCTCCTCTCTGTCATCATAAAGAGACACGTGAGCACGTAATTTCTCTGTGGCTCCTGTGTGCTGCCTCAGTTAGTAAGTTGTTTTCCCAGACCCACGCAACACATGGCATTTTAAATTGTTAATTTATTTTTCTGGCTGGATAGAGTGTTCCATCGTTTCGACTTGCATTTCTTTAATTTTGTTGGAGTGTCCTTTATTTTTATCGGGCCTTTTAATTTCTTTTTCTATAAACTTCCCTGTTCATCTTCTGCCTACTTTTCTATTGGTGTGATTGTGCAAGTTCTCTGTAAGTAAAGGAAATTGGCCAGTTTATTGCGGATACTTTTCATATACAATTTTTAAAAATTTAATCAGTCTTTTTATGGCATCTCACTTCTGTGTCTTAGGTAAAGAGTTTTCCACATGCTGAATGAAAAAATTTTTGGTTACCCACGTTTTTTCCTGTGACTTATGTTTTTATGATTAAATCTTTAGCCCATCTAGAATTACTTGTGGTTTAAGGGAAGAGTTTTAAGGTGTGTTTTTAATATCCACAGATTGGTGAATTTTCCAATTTTGCTTCTGTTAATTGACTTCTGTCTTCGTGCCTTCGTGTGTGGTCAGAGAAGATACTCTATGTAATGTCTGTCTTTTAAAATCTGTTGAGACTTAATTTGTGACGTAGTATATGCTGCTTCCTAGAGAATGGCTCGTGCACTTGACAAGAATGTGGATGCTGTGTTTGTCGGGTGGAGTGGTCCATAAATTTCTGTCAGATCTAGTTGGTTTACCGTGTTTTTGTCCCGTGCCCTTATCTTCTGCGTTTTGTTCTGTGGGTCACTGTGGGCCAGGTGTTGAAATCTCCAGCTCCTGCTGTGGAGCTCCTCCTCCCTTCCATCCTGTCCGTCCGTGTGTCCTGTATTTTGCTGGTCCGTTGTTAGGTGCATACGTAGTCGCAGTTTAGGATCTGCTTGCTGTAGTGAACCTTTTATTCACATGCAGTGTCCTTTTTTGTCTCGTAAGCTTTTTTAGATTTATAGTCTATTTTGTCTGATTGAGTATAGCTACCCCCACTCCCTTTTGTTACTGTTAGCATGGAGTATCTTTTTCCATCCTTTCACGTTCAGTCTATTGGTGTCTTTTGATCTAAAGTGAGTCTCCTGAAGGTGATGTATAGCTGGATTGTGTTGTCTTTATCCGTTGTGCCAATCTCAGTCTTTTAAGAGCTTAAACCATTACTTTAATTACTGATAAGGAAGGACTTCAATCATTTTGCCATTTTTTTTCTCTATATAATTTTGTCCCTTATTTCCTAGATTACTGCCTTACTTCCCATTTGATGGATTTTTTTTTATTGTGAAATGTTTAAATTGCTTTCTTTTGTGTATGTTCTATAGTGTGTGTGTGTGTGTGTGTGTGTGTGTGTTTAAAGGGATTACATTTAACATCCTAAAGTTGTAACACTCTAATTGAGGGTTGGGTCAACTTTAATAGCCTGCAGCAGTTTAATAACTTTTACAGCTCCGTCCCCAGCCCTTGGAGTTGTCATGTCCCCCACACTTCATCCTTATACAGTCTATGCCCCAAAACATAAAGCAGTAATTGCTTTAAATCCATTAGTCTCTTCAATCATGGAGAAAACAAAATGTGGAGTTACAAACTGAAGTTAAACAATACTAGCTTTTAGACAAACAGTTGTTTTTAAACTGTTATGCTCTTAAATTACATATAAAAAGAGAATGTGGAATTACGGATCATTTTTACAGTGATAATCATGTTTATGGTTACCCATGTATTTGCCTCTGTTGAAACCTAGATTTCCTTTCATGGCTTCGAATTTTTGTGTAGTGCCCTTTTGTTTTGCCATGTGCCCTTGAGCATTTCGTTCAGGGCAAGTCCAGTGGTAACACGTTCCCTCCACTTTTGCTTACCTGGGAATGTCTTATTTTTCCCTCACTTTTGAAGGACAGTTTTGCCAGGTACAAGATTCTTGGTTGATAGTTTTTGTTTTTGTTTTTCTTTTAATGCTTTGAATATATTGGCCTCCTGCCTTCTGGCCTCCAAAGTTTCTGATGAAAAATCTGCTTATAACTGTATGAAGATAACTTATATGTGATAAGTTGCTTCTGTCTCACTGCTTCAAGATTCTCTCTTTGTCTTTTGAAAGTTTGATTGTAATGTGTCTCAGTGTAGGTTTCTTAGAGTTCACTTTATTTAGAGTTCTTTAAGTTTCTTAGTTGTTTATATTCATGTCTTTACTCAAATTTGGGAAGTTTTCAGCCATTATTTTGTCAAATATTTTCTCTGCCATTGTCTCCCTCTCTTTCTCCCACAATGCA